TAGAAACATTGTTAATGATTTTACTTTTAGACTGTTGTATTTAGTGTGCCTCAACAAAAGGTCGGCGTCATGTCATGGCATCAATGCCTCTCCTCGCTCACTACAGCAAACCTGTAAACTGCAACTCATGTCCGCTATGAGTAATGCATTCAGGTGGGGATTCTCCCCCCCCCCCTCATTGATAGCTCAAAAAAATATATATTCTATTCAACATCTCTCTTTGCATTTGTTTTGTTCTACATAAAACATCTTGTTACATGATGGTGCTATGGGTTGTGGTGATACTTAGAATTGTTTGCATGTTGATAAAAAAGAAATTCAAGGGACTGTGAGTTACTTGGTTTTTCAGTACTTTAGGGCATCTCCAAAGTAGTCATGTAAGCTTCTGTAAAAAGGTCAAGACCTTGTGGTTCGAACACTTTCTACCATCCAATGTAGCCCCCTAAACGCCTGAGGGCCACTCTGCATGTCTGTTTACACCCAAAACAGAAGGAAACTCAGGGAGGGACTTTGCAGGAGTCCGGACACCATGCGGAGGTCCGTTTGGCCCTCTGTTAGTTGGACCACATGTATTCATAGCCCATGTGCTTTGTTCTCTAGGTCCGCCTGGCCCACCTCTGTTGTCCGGATTTGATGCCTGTTTAAGGGACAAGGTTAGATGATCGGTTCCCGTATCATGTTTGTGAACGTGTCCGGACGTGGTCCGCGGACCGATAGCATTCGTTTTGGGGGATAGCGTTGGAGATGCCCTGATTTCTCTTTTTGTTCTAGTCTTACTTTTGCTTTCTCTGAAGTGATGTATGATGGAAAACTGACGTTTTCTTTAATAGAAATCGATGAAGAGGCTCATTGTTTTTTTTAATATGCACCTCACCCAAACCAAGCAATAAATTAGTTGGTAATGCGCTCTAACTTCCTAGCACCAAACTTTAAAATAAAAAAAATTATATAATTACATAATCATAGCCATAACTCGTAAGTAAGTACTTTTAAATATGAATCGAATTGTATTAATTCGGTGGCACGTGGATCACATGCTTTTTTTAGGGTGGATCACATAGTTTTGTTGTCATCGAAACTATGTTTTCCGTGTTGAAAAATAAAACTAAGTTATGCCAACATTAACCGCAATGATGCAGTTCAACCGTTTAAATTGTTGAAAAGGGTGAATAAGATGTATCTAGCGAGCCAGCGAGGGAGAGGGCCACTTTATTTTTATTTTATTATTAATTTTTTGCAAAATAGAACCACATTATTGTTGGAACAAATTGGTCTACAAGATAGACATGCAAGATGTTGGACGGGCGTACGTTTGAGTATGGCACACGACATGGTGGGGAGCTAGCCAGCATCACTGTAGCCCATTCAAGCGAGAGCATCCAAATCCAGCTGGCTAATACAGTGGAGTACGCAGCAACTGATTAATTTAACAACGCCAATAACAGTAAACCCCGAACAAAACATGCACTCTCTCTAGACTAGTACTGCGCGCCACTGGCGAGTGAGTGAGATGTCAAAAATGGAAATTTTACCAGTGTGGTTGGTTAATTAATTCACTTGGCTCTGATGTGCCTCCAACATATTGTGTCGTTATCGATCGTCTCTGATGAGCAGCTAGCTAACTACTCCTAGCTATAGCTACTAGTCGATATGGTTAATTAGTTAAGTGGTCACTCTGCGTTTCATGGAGAGTTAATCGCTTGTGATTGAGAAGCATCACATCTAACCCACAGGTGTTGTGCCCCGGCCCATCCCGCATGATGGCTGGATTACATTCATAGTTGGTGATCGGTGACCCATCAGCTGACCCATGCATGCATGCTAACCTAGGCTTGGCCACACTCTATCTAAGCTAGTAGCTTCCTTTTGCTTGCAAATCAAGAAGGAGCACCCTCCTCTTGCAAAAAAAAAAGAATTAAATGGGCCGGGCAAACGGCGGGAGTGTCGTCAGTTGCGCAGCCCAGCCCCGCTTCCCAGGGAGCGCGGTACGTACGTACGGGAGGGGCGCCCGCGGGGTGCGCGCAGCAGACGGCGCGGGGGGGAGGGGAGCGGAGACACCCCGGGCGCAGGCTCACATGGCCGCCGTCCGCGGGCCCCGCGTCGGACCCCGTCACATGCAACGCGAACCCCTCGCCGTCCACCCCAGCAGCTCCCCGGCCCCACCGCCCGTGAGACGGGCTACGCATGATTGCGTCGGATTCGTGCGCGCTCCTTTTCGCCGTACTGTGTGACTGTGTCCCTTTTCTCCGGCGAAATCCGCGGACGTGTTGCACGCGCGGCCCCTGCACGTAGGCAGGTTTGGACGTTTGGTGGAGTACTACTCAACTTGCCAAGCTCGATTACCTCAGAGAGACAAGCCTCCAAGCTCGATCATTTTGGCGAGGCTGTCACGCTTGTGACTTGTCGCGTCCTCAAATGGACGAGATATACTGTGGTTGGCAAATTGTACTATTTTTGTGAAGGTTGTGCTCAAAGCATTCCTCTGTACACCACGTGGCACAGAATTACGGAGTTCATACGTAGTACAAAGGCCGAAAAAAAAGGTCAAAAAATGCTGCAGACCAGACGCGACTACGGGCGGAACGAACAGCGAGAGGAGTGGCATACGCGAGGACAAACCTTGCGGACAACCTTGCGAAGCGAGGTTGGCCTTACAACCCGATCTGTCAATTATGCCACTTAGGGTGGGAGAATGGTCTGCACCTTGTATCTAGCTGCTCTTTCACGGCTGGAATCTGGGGCTATTGCCTGGTGATATATAATTTTCCATTCAACCTCTTACATATTGCTCATACTGGCTCTATATTGGACTGGTGGTTAAAGGCTCTGAATCATACAGGCAGGAAAAAGGACCTATCATCACTCATAATGGCGGTGTCGTGGCAGGTTTGGAAAGAAAGAAACAGCCGCATATTCAACAAGGCAAACCACTTCCTGAAAGTCGCTGAGAACATTATCAATGAGCTGAATTCTTGGAGAATCACTGGATTCAAAGGAACACAATGGACAGGTGCGAGATAATTTCCTTCTTTCTTTCTTTCTTTTTCTAGTATACATTTGTATAGCTTTTCCTTCCCCTTTCTGGCTGTTAGCCATCCTGAACCTTGACTTGTATTTCTTGGGGTGTCTCATCCTATCTTAATGAATGAAATCAGCACAATGTTGTTTTTCGTCAAAAAAAAAGGAGTGGCATACGCAACGGAAAAGACGATGCAAAGATAGAAACAGAGCAAGAGAGAGAGAAAAGGAGCGATCAAGGTGGCAGGCACGTCGGACCGGGCCCCGACAGGCGGGCCCACCATCCCTGGTGAGCGATCGCGCGTGGTGGTCCCGCGAGGCGAGGCGGTCATTTTCGCGCGTGGGGGTCGCGGTCACACAGCGCATGCGGTTTCTTGGCCTCCAGCTAGCCCAGCAAAGCCCGACGTGACCCCACCTTTTTCTGTTTTCACCTGCTTTCTTTTTTCCTTTTTCTTTTTCGAGCGCCCACCTGCATATACTACGTACATTCAAAAAAACAAGCGGGGAAAACAAGTGTAAGCGTCACGTTATCTCTTTTTTTTGTAAGTGTCACGTTACTTGCATAGTTTCGTTTTAGTGGTCGACCAGCAAACCAAGCTGCACTAATACGCGCTTTATTATTATTTTTCTTCCCTTTGTTAAGGTTCGGTCGATAATCTTGTTTTCTTTTTTCTTTTTCTTTTTTGAGGAGCGATAATCTTGTTTTCAACACGTTAAACTGCGTGTTATCTTTCTGCCATTGTTACATGTGTGCTTTGGGGACAGAAAAGTAAGTAAACGATCAGCTACGTCCATGCATTTGGTAATTTTGTACTTTTTGAAGAGAGACCTTCAATCTATTCATATTCAATAATGGTGGTACAAAGAACATCCGGAAAATAAAAAATATAACTAGGTACATGAACCATCTAGCGATGACTAGAATCATTCCACCAGCCGAAAGTATCGCCTTCATTGCCCCTCCCTCACCGAAACTGGCAAGTCATTTTAAACATCTTAATATAGACTATATACATAGCTAAATAAGTGAACGTACACTCTAAAATACATCTGCATACATCTGAATGTAATCCGTTTTGAAATTTCTGAAGAGCTTATTTATAAATGGAGGGAGTAATAGACGGTCAAAGTCATTGTGCTAAGGCCTCACATAACCAGTGCACCAGAGTAGCATAAATCGTCGATGAAGAGAGGCGTAGATCAGGGGATCAAATCTGCAAACACTTAGACAAATATTGAATCCAAACAGATCCATCAAACACCAACATCGACTGAGTCGCGTGAGATCCGAGGGAGATACGCCTCCACACGCACTTCGAGGAGGCGACGACACTAGCCACACCATCAAGACGAGGAATACTTTTGTACTTAAGTTGCGATAACAATATGTTTAAATATAGAATTGTCGCAGAAACTAGTAGTCTTATGCACAAGCACAATAGCAAACTAGCATTGCGCTGGCATTGTATTGTGGATCATGGTAATCTAGTTAATTTTAACCAGTAGTTTTTCTATGCGTTATAGTATCTTATTTGTCTAATCATCAGTTAATTTTTAAATTTTATATATATTCTCCACCACAATTATAAACTAAGTTGGCATATAATACTCCATCAACTACAAACCGAGTCTAAGGCGCCTAAACAAATGAATAGCTGTAGAGAACAAATCGAAAATATTAGCAGAGGGGCTAGGCGCAAAAGAGGCTGGCCATGCATTATCATGGCCCTATTATTCTACACGCCCACACCAACACCCTCGCTGCCATTATTATTTCTGCCTGCCCCCCTCCCCTCCTCTGCCTCTCTCTTTATCTATTTCCATCCGCATTTGCATCGCTCGCCTTCCGCATTGCAGCCTCTCAAAACAGCCAAACCGAACCCCGAAAGCTCGCCAAGAAACGCAGAAACGAGCGAAGCAAACCAAGCAGCAGCAGCAGCAGCAGAGGAAGAAGGAGAAGCGAGGAGCTGAGCCGGCTAGCAATGGCGGCGGACCTGGGCTTCGAGGCGACCGAGCTCCGGCTCGGCCTGCCCGGCGGCGGCGGCGAGGGGGAGGCCAGGAGCTCCTCCGGCAAGAGGGGCTTCGCCGAGACCATCGACCTGAAGCTGAAGCTGGAGCCGGCCGGCGAGGAGGCGCCGGCCGAGGAGGATCGGGCCGACGTGGCCGTGGTCGCGGCCGCGGCGGCGGAGAACCAGGAGGAGACGGCGACGGACGCCGGCGCGGGGAAGATGAAGAGGTCGCCGAGCCAGAGCAGCGTCGTCACCTCCGCCGCGCTGCCCGACCCCGCCGAGAAGCCCCGCGCGCCCAAGTACGTGCATCTCCATCTCTATCTCCACTCCACCCACCTTTCTGCTACGCTCTGCTCTGCATGCTCACGCATGCAGCTCAGCTCACCTCTGCTCGTCTTCCTCGTGTATTGTAGGCTCTTCGTAACGCAAGCTTTCAAAAAAAATCCCATCAAAACGCCAGCCTAACTAACTCCTTTGCGAGCAAAACCAACTTGATTAACGGGCAGTTAACGGCATGAATCGCTCTGCTTCTCTCGCCACGATCGATCTAGCTTGTACTCCCTCCGTTCCTAAATACTTGTCTTTCTAGGCATTTCAACAAGTGACTACATACGGAGCAAAATGAATGAAAAATGAATGAATCTACACTCTAAAATATGTTTACATATATCCGTATGTAGTAGTCATTTGAAATGTCTAGAAAGACATATTTAGGAACGGAGGGAGTACTGAGTAGTCCATGCATGTTTGGTGATCATCTCAGATCGAGCACTGATCATGGAAGAGAGAGGAGATGATGGGTGAGATGAGATCTAGGGAGAGATTCATCCATCCATCTCCATCTGCGGCAGCAGTGGCAGTGGCCAGCAGAGAGACAGCAGCATGTTACGTGTGGGGCAGTGGGGGACAGTGCCTAGTGCCGACACGATAAAAGAAAGCCACGCACACTGCACTCCACTGCACTGCTGCCCCTCCCTCCTCTCGCACGGTTTACTTTTTTTGTCCACGTCGCCATCATCCCCATATCACTCGTATCCTGTCCTCACGCTACAATGCCATGGAGGAGAAAGATAATAGATTGCCATATTGCCCATACTGCCCCTTCCTTCCCGGCCATGGCATGCACTGTATCAAGATATGGCATGGCCCCACCTTGTTGGGTTCGGCGTTCTAGATCTATCTGCACCCCTTGTCCTCATCTCCTCCCTCCTTGTACAAATCAGGCTCAAACTTATTACATTCTATATATATTCTGTGTTACTTTAGACCTTTAGTAGATATATATAGTATGAAGAAGAAAATGGTAGGTAAAAAGTAACCATATGCAGTAGTTTTTGTTTTTATTCATCTGAGTAAACAGTTGAAGATGTGCTGTGGAGATGTATGTGCATATATGTGCCATGTGTGGATAACAGAAACGAGAGGACAAAGGTTGCATGCATGTCATGCGTTGCCACACAAGTTTTCGTTTGATAGAAGAGTGAAGAGAAGGGGGAACAAAATGGATCTGAATTTTTATATATTTGCACCTCATGGATCATGAAAGAACTCGTGCATGTATGTATGTATGTATGTATGTTAGTTTAACATAACATGTTTAAAACTAACCAAATCGTTTGGGCGGTCAATTTTATCCAGGGCGCAGGTGGTGGGGTGGCCTCCGGTCCGGTCGTTCCGGAAGAACATCCTGGCGGAGAAGTCGTCGCCGGCGGCGGCAGCTGCGTTCGTCAAGGTGAGCATGGACGGCGCGCCCTACCTGCGCAAGGTGGACCTCAACATGTACAAGACCTACCAGGACCTCTCCAAGGCCCTCGAGAAGATGTTCAGCTCCTTCACCATCGGTATGCATGCTTCTTCTCTACATATCTCTAACACAATACTAGAGCAGCCGCAACATTTTCATTTATAACTAGCCTATATATTTCTACGCTCTTGGCCTGTTCGGAACACCGAAATTTCACATGAGCGCATATATATGTGTGTAAAAAAATATTAAAAAATGTGCATATTAGACTGCTGAATTTTCTAAAACTGTGTTTCCTAAACCCTAGTCCCATTTATTTATAACAAGATTGCTATTCTATCTAGCTTTTGTTTTCTATCTAGTATCTAGCTGTAGTGTTCCTGAACTTTTATACACAAAAAAAGATCACAACATATTTATAAAGTTACTGGCTATATATGGTACATGCATGCATGACTTGTGTATATGATTGCACTTCCATTTGCATGTGTGGTGGTGGTCACCATGTGGTTTTGCCAGGGGTGCATGATTTGCGTCGATCCTATTCCTTGGTAGGTGTCTTCCCTGTCTGTGGCATAATGTCCTTGTCTCTCTACCATATGTACACACAGCTAGCAAGCTCATGATCATGGCATCTGCTCACTCAGCTAGCTATCTTTGGCTGGTTCATGATTAGCATGAGTCGTTGTAACTTGATACCCAGTAAGCAATAATCCAACATGTTGGAGCGTGCATCTTAAAAAAAGATGCAACCAATGGTTGGTTTCCCAAAACAACAATTATTGGTTTTTCTCTGTTGTGGTGATTGTAGATTTGTGTTCCGTTGATTTGATACGGAACTTTATTCGGCACTTCCCGCTGTTAATTAGACCATAACAACTGCTCTGAACTAGCACTATGTATTTCCCGAGTTACTGTTAATGCTCTGGAATTAGATATTAATCCCAGTGTACGTGTTGTCACACTTCAGGAAACTGTGGAACTCCAGGGATGAACGGCATGAACGAGAGCAAGCTGATGGATCTGCTCAATGGATCCGAGTATGTTCCGACGTACGAGGACAAGGACGGCGACTGGATGCTCGTTGGCGACGTCCCGTGGGAGTGAGTGCTGCATCCTTGATTCTCCATATGCATAATTCTCCATTTGTGTACTTAATTTCAAACATCTGAAGTGCTACTTTGAATCTTTGATGAGTACCGGTCTGATCTAACGCTCCATTTTTCTAAAATTTCAGGATGTTCGTCGAGTCGTGCAAGCGCCTTCGGATAATGAAGGGATCAGAAGCTATTGGCCTTGGTCAGTAGATCTCCCTTAAGTTTCAGATCAGCAGATGAAATGCTTTTTTCTTTCTAGAGGTTTTGTTAAGATTTGGGCCGACTTTTGTTTTGATTGTGAATTGTTTTGAATTGTTTCAGCACCAAGGGCAATGGAGAAATGCAAGAACAGGAGCTGAGGAGAGGATGCACTAAATGTTATGCAAGAATCAAAATACCTATAACCTTGCTTGCTCATCCCTGTATCATATTCTCTGTCCTAAGTCTAAGTCTGTATCTCCTGATCAGTGAAGTCATTTTGGTTTGTGATCTTCTCTTTTCCAGTCAGTCAGTCCCAAGTCTCATCTTGTTATATACATAAGAAAGAAGAAGCCAAGAACATGTGAGATGTATCTGTACCTGTCTGCCACATAATTGTGTCTTCTCTTTTTTGCTCTGCTTGTTCTTCCTTTTTTTTCCCTCTCTTCTTATGTCTCTTCTTGGCACAAAATGCAAAGGCGCCCTATTTTTCCTCTTGCGGTTTGTCCATCAAAAGTTGTTTAATTATCAGCATGGTGTATCAACAAAACAAATATTTATTGCAAGGTGTTAAATGTTAATTGTATTGTGTTATGAGTTTGCATTGTGCTTCCTTTTGACATGATTCATTCTGGTGTTGTGAACTTATAATGGTGTTCCACTGAAGAATCATGAGAGGATTCGATGGTAGAATAGAGATGCTTTGTTCTGTGGTGCATTGTCGACATACAAATCAATGTGTGTGTCAACTTGGCTGTCCATGTTTCTTTAGACTTGGAGCCAACTGGGAGGGGAGGGATGCACAGAGGCATCCCATGTGCACACTTGATTTTCATATGCCAATCACTAGCTCTCACCAGTATTATGAGGCATCACACTTTGCTGCATCTTTTGCTGTCATGTACTATTATTATACATGCCATTGTTTGGTGCATTGTGCCCTGTGTCATGATAAAGGGTGCAGGGTTGGACAAAGTTGAGCTGTCCTTTCCCTGTTTTCTAGAGAAGGCCAACAAAAGAAAAACATGAAGTGCTGGAGGGTGTTGCCATGATTTCTGGGAACTTTCAGCTGTACCTTCCTAGCCATGAGTATCTCCCCCAACTAAAGGTGACTTTGCATGTTAGATTAAGCAAAACATATTTCCCTTTGGAGATCATGTCCCCTGGTAATGATGCCAGCCTTGAGTCTTTTCAAGTGCACATTGTCCTCCTCTCAAGGCAATCTTGTGTTGCTTCCACCAAGAAATTGCTCAGTTAAAAGTGGTCACTACGGATATTATTGTTTCTTACCGGCCATGGGTCGTCTTTTGAGCAAATAGATAGTTTGTCTCTTAAGGTTGCAACATACAAGATGTTTAGCATCCATCAACAGTTTACCATCAGAGCATGAATTGCGTCCATGCTGGCATTTTAGACCAAAGCTTTACGGATTCGGAACTGTGCGAACAAAACTGCTGAAATAAATAATATTATTAGATAAATGCTGCAAGACTATCTCTTATCAGTAGAATAAACAGAAATTATTCGATTATTCCTCAACTGTGCATCAAGAACAAACTGGTGGAGGAATAGATTATACATGTACACAGATCACCATGGATGGAAACAAGCAGTTATCTTATTGTTTCCTCCAAGCCATGGATCATCTTTTGATTAACTGGATAGATTGTCTCTTAAGGTTGCAACTTATACACAACCTATTGCATCAACAATTTACCATCAACACATGAACTGAAGTTCCAGATTTGCAAACTACAGCCATTTATTATCACTGTAGCTTTATGGATTCAGAACTGTATACAAACAGGAATGTTACAAATAGGAATGTTAAAATAAAATGATATAATGATTAGATACTTGAAGAGTGTCATTTATTGAGTTCTTCCTCAAGAACAAATTGATGGGGGCATACCTTATTCTATGCGCTAAATCAACACGGATGGAAACAGCCAGCTGACTTATTCTATGTACAAACATCGCCATAGGGCAACTATTATTACCGAAAATCAAAATTGCCATCAGAAACATGGGGTCTAGCTTGAGTAGTCCATCAATCTGATCACAAGATCTGCAGTCCTTTTTGACTCCATGATAAGCCCAGCATTCGGGCGGTCATTGTACGAAATCTGATTCATAAGAAAAAATTTGAGACCGTAAGGAGTTGTAGTGTTCAGAAACTCTATGATTAGAAACATGAAAAAAAAGGGTCGCGCTAACTGCCACACGTGTGGCAGTAAGGAAGACGCACCACACGTCTCTAATGTAAACAGATTGCCACGTCATCGCATGCATGTAGGAATCTTTTTGGATTTTCAGTTTTTAAAATGTTTTATCTCTTAAACGAAAAATCCGATTGAAAATCCGTTTTCACCATTAAATCCCTCGCGATGAGATATTCGAAACTAGATCCCATGTTGATATGTTTTGATGAAATTTTTTTGGGATTAAAAGTTGTCATGTCTATTGCATATGAATTGCCATGATGTTTACACTAAAGTTGCCATGATATGTTTCAGCTATTTTCTTCTACATTTAAATATAAATTTTGACATTTATAAAGCGGGGAATTAAGAAACTAGACTTGCCATGAACCATAAACTAAAATTGCCATGATACATGCACGTAAAATTGCCATGGTTCATACAAAAAATAATTTTCATGGTCAAAGTACTGGAGCTGCCATCATCAAAATACTAAAATTGCCATGATCTACAAACTAAAATTGCCACATGGCAACTTTAGTTTAAGCCCTATGGCAACTGCAGTGTAAACATAGTGGCAACTTCTGGCAAAAAAAAATTCGTCGAAACATATCAACATGGGGTCTAGTTTTGAAGATCTCGTCGAGACGGATTTAATGGTGAAAACGGATTTTTAGTTCGCTTTTTATTTAGGAGATACAACATTTTTAAGCCGAAAACCAAAAAAAAATTCTACTGATGTCATCTATTCATACGTGGCAAAATGAGTGGTGATGGAGGCGTGTGGGCGATGTGCAAACGCCCACACGTGTAGGCGTTAACATTTCCGGAAAAAAATGACTTCATTGAACCGAAAATGTCCCTACTGAATAGCTACTTGTGTAGGTTTTCCTGGGGTATAACAATATAATAAAATAATCCTACAAAACAGGCAACACAAACGAACTGAAGTTCTGAATCAGTTGCCCTATGGTGAAGGATCATCTTTTGATTAACTAGGTAACTCATCTCTTAAGGTTGCAACTTATACACAACCTACTGCATCAACAAACTACCATCAACACATGAACTGAAGTTCCAGATTTGCAAACTACAACCATTTATTATCACTGAAGCTTTATGGATTCAGAACTGTACAGACAGAAATATTAAAATAAAATGATGTCGTTTATTGAGTTATTCCTCGAGAACAAATTGATGGGGGAATACCTTATTCTATGCACTAAATCACCACGGATGGAAACAGCCAGCTGACTTATTCTATGTACAAACATCGGCATAGGGCAAGAATTATTACCGAAAATCAAAATTGCCATCAGAAACATGGGGTCTAGCTTCAGTAGTCCACCGATCTGATTACAAGATCTGCAGCCTTTTTTGACTCCATGATAAGCTCAGCATTCGGCCGGTCATTGTATGAAATCTGATTCACAAGACAAATTTTGAGACGGTAAGAAGTTGTAGTGTTCAGAAACTCTGCGATTAGAAGCATGAAAAAATATGTCTTCGTTCAACAGAGATGGCATATGCTTAACCGAAAATGTCCTACGGAATAGCTACTTATGTAGGTTTTCCTATATGGTATAACAATATAATCAAATAATCCTACAAACAAGCAACACAAATGAACCATTTTGGCATTAATTGTTTATTAGATGAAATATGCAAGTCTAAGCTAATGCACAGGTTATAAAGTCAACATAAGACACTGAATGAGCGTTTTATGTGGCTGTATGTAAGGAGCATATGCTTGTTCTTGTGTGAGAGGCAAGAATGGAGGATGATAATTACCCGCCATGCTGCTACATCTGGCTCTTTCCCTGGCAAACAGTAACAGGGCAGAAAATGGAATTAGATGCATAAATGATAGTGCATCTCAAAGGAGCAAAGCAATCGTGGATGAGGCAAACCTGTGCCAATATGCCTCTGGAGCACTCTTTGCATGGAGACATCAATGTCAATGTCAATGAACCTGAGACGATAAAGTTTGGCCATTAGAAACACAATTTATCCCTTTTGAGATGAACAAACAAGGGTGTATTGTGTTACATGAAACTGAAGAGCTACATAGACTTGGTATTCATGATTGATAAAATTGTATTTCTCTCACATATGGTTGTGAAACCTGCATACTCACCATTTCTCATCGAACATGTCTCTAATTTCCCTCCAAAAATCTTCTTCCAGTAATAAATAATTCCCCTCGACGATCACTATTTTGTGCCTGACAAAATCATAGTAAGTAGCAAAAAGCATGGGTCAAGCACCATCTGTATCACGGTAATGTAGCGAAACTGTGGAGAAGTTATGACAGTTGTAGGGTCTATTCTCGTCGAAACTACAGAAGTGGAAATAGCGAGGTTAACTTCTGATGAAGATTAATAGCAGAACAATCACATGCCGTCATAGGTTAGGACACTGCTTCAAATAAAATAAGCTTAGGACATTGCAATGTTATATAGCAGAAAGGACATGCAAAAGTCAAGTTGCTGTAAAAGGTACTACAGTCGGTAGTTCAGCACCATTAATTACTGTGAATAATCTGGGCAGGTTTTACATTCCAATTAAGTCAGCTAAGAAACATGTCCATATACTCTGCAAAATAACTTACTGCGGCTTTACAAATATGTCATTCTCGACTGGGTCACCAACACCATGATCAAATGATGGAGCATAGACTGACCCCTATGAACCAAGATGTTAGCTCGAAAATATTTACTGCTGCAGAATTCATATAATTTGACAATGAAATTAGTAAATACCTCTTCCTTTAGGGTCTGTAGGCATTTCAGAAAAAGTGATGGATTGAATGTCCATGGTGCTAAATTTAACAAATCAAATGTCAGTACTTTGTGAAAACAATATTTTATTAAAACATATCAAGCGGAGAACCCTTCTCACTTCCTCTTCTTGCATGTGCTTCTTTTGGATCCTAAAAGCACCATTGTGTCAATAACTTTAGAAGAAAAATAGAAAATGGATTTCTCAACAGAGAACAAACCTTCATTGCATCAAGCTGGGATCGATAAAGGTGGAAACCATCCATGGGAAGCATTGTCGCAATATCTTCATTTGAATTCAGTGAACTATCTTTTGTATGCTTCTGAGACCAACGCATATTGACGCGTCGAACCACTTCAGAGGCAACAGTAGACTTGCCTGCACCAGGTGGGCCAGCCAGACCAACAATATATCTGTTCAATATTTGCGAGTGGTATTATTAAGTGGATCAGCAGAGTTGCGATTCAATAATTTCTATCAGGAGAGCTAACATAAGCTATTGTTCCAGTAATTTCATCAGATTTTCTTCGTTTACCATCTTAATTGTTAAATATAGCAGTTGCCCCAAAAAAGGGAAATGGGAGGAGAAATAAAGGGAGAGGAGGACAAGCTACATTGATAAGGTTCATTTTTATGCTTTGAATAACAAATGGATAAAGATGCCTTGTTTTCAATGATATCCACATCTTAAAGATCCACTGTATTTCAGACTCAACATGTTTGTCTGACTAGGTGCTTGTAAGGTACTGTATTTAACAGGAAGAAACTGCAGACAGTTCTTGTATAGCATTGGACCAAAAATACTGTGTTCAGTTAACCAGCTCCTGTTTGACTCTAAAATAGGTTGGACCAAAATATTATGTTTCTGTTTGCTTCTAATGGCGAACAGATAACAGTGTATACTTATTGATAAAAATGTTAAGAATCGATATTCTACGGCAGAAGAAACATATAAATAATACAGGTACAAACTGTTGCGACGGAAATAATTCACTACGTACCCAACAGCATTTCTAAAAACAGCTTACTTTGAATCAAGATTATCGATACTCTTGAAGACAGAAAGAATGTGCTCAGCCAAAGAATCATATACTTCCTCCATTGACCTTCAAGTTTAAAATTAGAGGAACTTTTGTTAGCATCTCAAGTCATGCGATGCAACTCAACCATTGTTACTCAAAATTGAAAAGATGTACCACCATGTAGCTACTCTAGATATAATCCAGTTTAAATTACTGCTGAAAAAAGGTGAGACAATCACAGCATATTAACACATCCTGGTAGTTTTCCCCTTTTTAAACATGAAAAATGTGCACTGACTGATGCAGTAAATAGCAAAACTAGCTCCCCTTCTTGTGGTTGCGGTTCCGACCAACGTTTGATTTCCATTTCTTCAGATCCTGATCCGGTGGCTACGGGATTGCTCAGACTCGGGCCGGGGCAAAATCCCTGCTTGGCTTGCCGATGCTGGCAGCGGCGACGCTTGCAAGTTGCGAGTGATGTTCCCTCCTTGGAGGCACTGCCATGGCCTCTATATGTGCTCCTCTTTGAGCACCGGGGGAAACCCTAGGTCCAACTCTTTGGATCGGACGGCGACGACGCCACAGCGTCATTCTCCTTCTTGAAGGCGTCGTCTTGTTTGCTCGCGGCATCCCTGGTGTTGGTTTTGGAGATGTTGGATGTCAAGTTGGTTCAGGCTGCCTCTCAAGGCATAGGCTTCCGGGGCGCTATATATGGCTTCGACGGTGCTTCCCCCATGTCTTCCGCCTCCGGCTAGGCTGGGTCCTGCAGCCCACTTGGCGATCTCCAGACGCTCTTGGTGGCGGCACGTTAATAACAACTTATATGTAGTTCTTATGTTCTGCTAGATTTGCCCTCAAATATAACTTTTGGGGGATGTGCTAGACCAACTTGTTAAATCAAATAGGCCAATTCTGACGATGTGGTGATTGTTTTCCTTCATAAATGACACTTGCAACTTACTTGGCTTCTATCTGTGGAGCTCCTTGTCTCTGATAGCATGTAACCTGGAAAGAGATGTTGGAATCAAACATAGCAAAAAAAAACACGCATGATAGAACTGTGTGAGAAGAAAAGGCTGCTCACATTGTGTTTCTTCTTCCATGTAGCCCGAGTAACTGGCTGAGGAAATGCAGGCTGAATGCTCACACTCAGTGAAGGCATCGCCTTGGTCACTTTGCTTCTCACGGCAAAACTCCTACAAGATATGTATCCTGAAGAGGCAGGGACATTGCGCCTTTGAGCTGTTCAGCAAAGACAGATAAGAGAAATAGATACTCCCTCAACTTTGTACTGAACCAGTGACAAGTAGTAATATGGATCGAAGTAGCACATTCGTGTTTTTTGGAAATAAAATAGAATCAACAGGTAACTAGTATGTCGTGATTTTTTATCACTAAAAATGGATAATAATCCAGCCTGACTGCAGGTCGGTCAGTCGTGCAGGATAATCGGAGACATGGTTTGTAGAATCAGTCTACGAATCAGCCGCCGCCTACAATTCAACCGTATGCAGAGCAAAGCCTCGCCGGCGATCCCCTAATCGAAACCGGCGCCGGGGACGAAGCAGTAAATCGCGGGGCCGAACCACCCTACCTGCTAGCCGGGAAGATGGGAAAGAGAAGGGGGATAGATCACTTACGAGGCGAGGCGAGCCAGGGAAGATCAGCCGGCGGCCGGAGCAGCCGCGCCTGAGCCGCCGTGGGGCAGGCGATGGAACCCGACAACTCCATGGCTCCTCTTTGGATCGAGGAGCGCGTGCTGTTCTTCCAGAGTGAGATTAAGCGACAAAAACGCTGCAGTTGGTTAGACTGGATTATCCAGAGGATTAAGTAAGGATCAGAATCTTTTCATTCCTATCCGATTCAACTCTGCTCGGTTCCGATTCAGAAAGGGAGTGAATTTCTTTCAGGAAAAATAATAATAAAATAAAACAAAAAGAGCAGGTGGAACTTCCCATCTGGGCCCCTCATACTAATCTCCAATGCAAGTGCATCCCCAGGACCCGACTGTAAAATTGCCCCAGCTGCCAGCTCACACTGGGAAATCTACACCAGACAGTATGCACTTGCAGGCTTACAGTTACAGCAGCATCCATTTGGAAACAAGAGATTAAACAAATCAGTAGGAACATGACAAAAATAATACATGGACACACCAATAAATATTTAATTTATGTCAAGATTATTTTCCAGGATGAACCAAGGGTGCTAGGCATACACTACACCATGCCCTTATTGTCCAACAGAAGAATTCAGCAGGGAAGAAACAAATGAGATTTTTTCAGAGAAACAAGAACGGTAGAGTTTACTACAACACCAGTAGGCTCAGATTATGTGCCCTCAGCCAGCCTTACAACATCACAGCCTAACTAATCTTCCTTTTCCTGTGCCCCCCTAGGTTGTTGGACTGCTAGCTATTCGGCTGGCTCTGCAAGTGACTGCCTTGCTTCAGCTCAGATGTGCACGGCGCACTGGCTTCGCCGCGACTCGCCGCACCATTTCTCGTCCTCAAACTGCTGAAAAGGGTTCACAGTTATGGAATGTGAGTGATCAGAGTACACAGAGAGCAATGAATCAACACTGCGTAAAGACGTGGGTGTGGATTGGGGAGTGTTGCGGCATTGCAGGTGCAGTTCAATACCTGTTCTGGCATGAACTGAGGGACTTGCACCCGCTTCGAGCCATCAGCAAGGCGCTTGCAAGGCATGCGAGGCTCTCCTGCTGCAAACTCATTCAGAACCTGGCAAAATTTAGAGTGGCAACTCGTTTAGAAACAGGAACATAAGATTATGGCAAGGCTGCCCCCTGCTACGTGCAGGAGCTCAGGCACAAGTTGGCAATTAATGTTGCAACAGCTAAGGTTTTTCTTATCACACGGGTGGTTGAAAATCAGCAGTACCTGGTTTCTGATTGCTCCGATCAACATGTCACGGCATCCAGTGACATGAACATCTTTCAAGCTTGGACACTGAAGAAGCAACCGTTCTGCAGAATGTTTCATAGGCTGTAAATACTCATGCACTAACCATTTATAAGTTTGGACACTGAAGAGGCATCCAATTCAGTACCAAACAAGAATGAGGATGTCACACCTGGATTCAGATTTATGCAAGAGTTGAGGTTCAGATCACTCAGCTCTGGACAATTTACATATAGGGCCTGTCATAGATGAAGAGAACAGTAGTAAGAACATAGCTTCACTGTGTACACAGACCGGAATACAAATAAATTAGCAATCATGAATTTTGAGCACTTACATCTATTGCAGAACAGCCCCATAGACTAAGTTTTTTCAGATTAGCATGCTTTATAATCAACTTTTGGTAAGTTGGTTGCTGCTTCCTTGTGACCTGTAGTTTTGAGCAAAACCTAATCCCCCCATTGAGATCACCAAAGTATGATCGGGGTGCTTCGGGCTGCACATTAGCACATAAGCTCTTGCCGCAGTCCATGAGCTGAAGAAGTGGCAACTGCACTGCGGCCACCTGGACCCCACCTACAGATCACATAAACAGGAAAAGCTTTAGATATTTGCAGCTATGGGCAATGTGATATTTCTGAAATCACTGGAACAAAGGAACACAAGCAATGTGAAGGTTCAAGCTTACATGAGGTGATATTTGGGCACATAGCAAGCAGCAGCCTGGTTAGGGTATCAGGGAATGCCTTGCTGATCATCCCAAGCCCATTATCAGTGATACAAGATCTGGAGATTTAAGTATCATGTGTTGGTTTAGGCTTTATTTTGCATGACTGTAGAAAACAAAATATCATCTCCAAACCATTAGGCTTCGTAAAAACCAGCACATACCCGCTTAAATCAAGCAACTCCAAGCTTGTAAAAGAACGAACAATAGATGCAACAGCTGCATCTGTTATTTTTTTACCTAGAAGCAAGGACAGCATGCACAAGCCCCTGATGAAACAAGAAAAAAAATGTATAAGGTGGTTGAAATGAAATAAGCAAGAATAATATTAAAAGTTCAGTCCAGCACAATTCCTGAAATTTGATCAACAATCCATTTGGACTATAGCAATATGTGAATTTACCTGAGATTAGCACTCCCAAGAGCAAACACAGCTTCATTGCACAAGTGAATTGAGGATATGTGCAATTTTCTCAAATTCAAGCAGGTGCGGCCCAGACTATCCATCATACTAATCAGATCGGTAGAATCATTATCTTGTTGGGAAAAAATCAGTGAGAGCTCACTCAAATTAGGACAGTTTATGACCTGTAAGAAATTAACAACATAATCAATTTATAAAACAGCATACCAAAATAACTCAACAATTATAAAAGTTTGCCAACTTACATATTTTGTGATGGAAGAGAGATCTGATAGCCAAAGGGTTGAAAGGCTTGTAGAGTTTATATTAAGAAAACCAAGACCACTACAGCGATCTACTTTAAGAACTGTCAGAGACTTCTTCTCCGAAATAAATCTAGTAAGCTCATCCCTGTTTAAACAAACAAGTGTTGGTTAAAAAATCACTTGGTCTTGTAATTTAACATCTAATCTATCCATAAACTGTCCTGTGTAAGTTATTTTTAAGATCATGTAAATGGTGACAATGCACAGCATAGTAAGGCAGCATATTGCAGCATGAAACAACATTCTGAACAGTAAGCAACTTCAAGCAATAATAGTAAACAGTTTGGTATCCTGTGTAAATTATTTTTAAGATCATGTAAATGGTGACAATGCACAGCATAGTAAGGCAGCATATTGCAGCATGAAACAACATTCTGAACAGTAAGCATCTTCAAGCAATAATAGTAAACAGTTTGGTATTTTGGTAGTGCACATTTGTGAATGTGTGTATCATTTACACTAAAGATACAACATTAGAAATCATAGATTTCAGAGGACTAAATGCATGGAAAGATAGAATTTCACAGGATTTGTGATTTAGGGATGATGTTCAACGTACCCGGTCATCCGGTTGACTGCACTATCAGCCATGCTTATCTCCAGAGATTGCATGTTTGGGCAGGAAAATGCAAGGCATGCAAGCATTGTGGCATCAACATCACTGCATCAAATGTCCAAAGGAACATGTTAATTAGAATATACCTCTCAGTCAAGAAACTGAATGGAACTTTCTGGCCAAAAAATAGGTTGGAACATGTGTGATCTAATCATGACTAAAGTCCCCATAGAACTAGATCAAGTTAACGACCTTGTTGCAAGAAGAACCATACTTGCTTTTCTGACACTATTTGAAACTAAATCAGGGCTATGCATTTGCTGATTTCATTCAGTATGACAAAAGTAAGCAAAGTTTCTAACTAAGTGCAAGGTTCAGAGGGAAAAAAAGATCTGCCTACTGATTCTCCTGCTCTGCATAAAGAACCGATAAAATCCCCTGAGGTCACAGGATCAGGAAATATTTTCTCCCAACAAAAATCTATGACAAAACTAACCAGAATTATACGTTTACTTGCACAAATTGCAGGGCAAGAAACTGAGCTAGGCAGGCATTATGCATCAAAGATACCACGAAAAAAAAACTTGTGCCCACTTGCACTAACAATGAAATATTCAGCATATTGCTGATCTAGCATTGGGCACGCATTATGCATCAAAGCTAGCATGAACTCTCAGTCACAGATCAAGTCAGGCACTGATCAGGGATCCATATAACGATCTCACAGCACCATGACTAGATGTACCACCAAGAAAATCGCATCAAAGAAGCAGATCGGGTTCGCCACAACAGATCCATTTCTAAAAAGCAGATAAGGTTCGCCACAGCAAGTCCATTTCTAAAAGGCAGATAAGGTTCGCCACAGCAAGTCTTTTTCTAAAAAGCAGATCAGGTTCGCCACAGCTTGTCCATTTCTAAAAAAGCAGATCAGGTTCGCCACAGCTTGTCCATTTCCAATATCTACCATGTCTAAATACCTTTCTTCGTGGAGAATTGCTTGTGTATAGATTCCGATCGGCGCCGATCAAGGGTCCACAACGAGGTGAGATCTCACGGCGCCAGATCGGATCACACATTGGCAAATTGGGCGTAGATCGGGCGTGTTCATCCGTTAGTCCGTCTAAGCGATGGTGAATTAAGCAAGAACGTTCTGTCCGTCGTCCCATTTCGACCAAGATTAGTTGGTTATAGAGATCTGCTCGTGGATCGGCCGGATCGGGTTCGTTTTTTGTGCATTTTCCTAACCTTTCCATGCGGAGCACGAGCCTGGACAGCGCGGGGCACCGCGGCAGCAGCGTCCCGATGGTGCTAACGCCGGCAGCGCGGAGGCGGAGCTCCTCGGCCCCCCACCAGACCCGCCTCGCGCAGTCACGCCACCCGCGGCTGACGGCCGCGGACGCCGCGACTGCCCTCGGGGCAAGCCGCCGGAGCACCTCAATGACCACCTCCCCCGGCACCCGCACGCCGGAGCCGACGGCCACCAACCCCGGCCTCCCGACACCGCCCGACTCCGGCTCCGAATCATCCACGTCCACCACATCCACCCTCGGCTTCTTCTCCGGGGGGCGGTGCGGGGCCGGATACGCCGCCGCCACCGGCATCACGTCCAGCGCGCCCGCCGCCGCCGCCTCGTCGAAGTGGAGCGCGCGCCTCGGCTTGTGCTCCGGGGCCGCCGCCGCCGTCCCAGCCCCGGCGGCAGGTGGGCCGGGGATGGAGCAGACGTGGCCCTTCTTGGGGAGCCCGCAGCGGCCGCAGTTGTAGCTGCCCCGCTTCTTGGCGACCGCCGGCAGCGCGGGGGC